CATGTGAAATTGTTGTCGCTTTCTTTTCTTTTTTGGACTTGTTTTCTCTTTTGCCAGGACTCGTCCCCCTGTTGGTACGTATACACGCTTTGAAATTGCACTCTTTGACCTAGACTGACTTTATGTTGGACAGTGTTCTCGTGGTCGATGCGGTCAACGTGCCTTTCGCCCTCATGGCCCTCCCGCTCCCACTTTTCTTTTGTTTGTCTCTTCCCCAGGACGAGCATCGATGCCTTCTCCTGGAGTCCGTATGCCATGAATTTGGATAAGATGTCTTAAAGTCGCTTTCTTTTATTGAATGAACAATTACATACTGACAACACCTTTTTCCATCTGTAGCTTATATTTCACGCTACTCAAATGAATTTTCTGTCCGCTGGAGGATCAAGTGGATGTAAGTAAAATGTACTTCCCGCATAACATACATGCTAAGGACACATATCTACTTTAATTCAATAAACATTAAATTAAATGCCCTTATAACGGTCAACACTTTGATTTCCTTCAAATTATGTGACGGTGAATGGATGTTATACAAACCAAAAGCTTCAAGATCTTGATGGCAATAACACGGTCTAATCTAAGTATGACAAGCTCCATTGGCATTTTAAATCATTCATTTTCACTTTGAAGCCAATCCTTTTTTTCCTTTTTTTTTTGTTTTTTATTTCCACTACCATTATTCATAAAGTGCCTTCTTGGCGAACTGAGGCAAGACGAAAGCAGCCTTGTGGATCTCGGAGTTGTAGTAGCGGCATTTCTTCTCCTCCTCTTCGGGAGTCCACTTACGCAAAGGCTCTCTAAGATTAGCATTGGCATCCTTAGAGCAAAGTATGTGACCAATCTGTCCACTGGGGTAGGTGGGAATGGAAGTATAAGCGTATTCAACCTGGGGGTAAAGATTCTTGCAGAAGTCCTTGACCTTGCGGATAAGAGGCAAATGAAGCCACATGCATTCTCCCTGAGTACTGAAGACACCATTCTCGGTCAATGCATTCTTCAAAAGCTGGAAGAACTCAGCACCGAAGAGGGACTCGGCGGGACCTGTCGTAACATGAAAATAAATATTCCATTACCACCCTTACTTAAAGCTTACCATCAGGATCCGAGGAGTCAGTAATGATAACATCGTATTGGTTGACCTTGTCCTTCAAGAATTCAAAACCATCACCAATGAATACCTTGACCTTAGGATGCTGGAAACCAATAGCCATGTTGGGAAGATACTTCTTGGAAACACGAGGAACGGCTTCATCAATATCAACCAACGTGGCTTCTTCCAGGGATTCATGCTTAACAACCTCGCGGAGGACACCACCGTCGCCACCACCAATAACAAGAACCTGCCATCATTTAGGTCTATATCTACACAGGATAACCCACCTTACCTTCTTGGGGTTAGGGTGAGAGTTCATGGCAAGATGAGTGATCATTTCTTGGTAGCTGCAGAGGGACACGTGAGTGTTTTGAAACTAACAATCCATCGTTCTAACGTACGAGAACTCGTCGCGCTCGGTAGCCTGAATAACACCGTCGAGAACCAAAACGTTACCATAGTTGGAGGACTGGAAAACAAGGACGTCTTGGAACTTGGACTTTTCGACGTGGAGGATCTCCTCGACCTTAAGCGCCATGGCTTAGGGTTTCGTTAGCGAAAGAATAGCCATAGTTGGGTATATGTTTGGCGACAGCAAAATACCTTGGCCAGGCCACATAGTGGACTTTTCCATGAACCAACCGTCGTTGATGCTGGGGTGCGAGAGAGGTGCTGCCATTGTTTACTTGTCAAAAGAGAAAGAAGAAAAAAAACTGCACGCGGTGAAGCCTTTTTTTACCGAAGATGACGCAAAATTTTGAGCAAGTAGTCACAAGATAGGTCTGTTCGCATACCAAACATGGCGAAGACAGGCTTATTGTGCCGTTTCCACTGTTAATTTCGGAAACAGAACAATGAAGCCGTAACAATTTACATCAGACACCAGCTGGAAAGATTAAAGAAGAATTCGCAGCGCATAATTTGAAGATCGCTGGAAGAATCAAAGGAAAGATGGAAAGTTATTCTTTGCCGATGTTGGAGCATGCTCATGCAGAATCAGTAAAAACTTAGACCTTCAATGCTCTGGAATAAGTTGCTGAACAGTGTATGCACACTTAGCCATCATTTTAACCATGTTTCAAAACGGTTACGCCGTTTGCATTTTGATAGACAGTTATGTCATTTGCTTCTTAAAAAGTTACTCCATGATTAATAGATAAAATATAAATATGATTATAACTAATAAGGTTATTTTGCGTATGCTTTACTTTCTTCTCTTGAGCTTGAGCTTTCTAAGAGATTAACTTTCTATACAATGCATTTTTTTGCCTTTTCCTTTTTACATCTTTTAAAATATCGTTTTACGCTTGTTAAAGTTGACAGGTAAAACTTTTCTAATATTTATATTCAATAAAGAATAAAAATAATTATAATTAAACTACTTTATCTTTTAAAGAATGTAAGCTATAGTTTGTTATAAAAACTTGCTTTTACTCTTATAAGGTAAAATAAAGAATGAAAGCAAAAGAACAAAATAAAAAGAATAAAACAATTGATATATTAAGCTATTCGATAGATCTTTTTACAAACACATCATTTCTAACAATGTTGTGCACATAAATATTTACGCTGTGAATAGTCCTATAATTTCCTGTGATTCTCTTTAAATTTCCGAGTTCTACGCTTTACTTGTCTATTTCTTAAATAAAAACAGTTAAACTCCGATTTTGTCCTTGGGGTCGTGGTGTAGTCGTATCACGTTCGCTTCGCATGCGAAAGGCCGCGAGTTCAATTCTCGCCGGCTCCAGGTCCTTTTGTCGTAGTAGGTTTTACTTGTACTACCTTTTTGCCTAATTTGGAGTGCGTCTTGTGTGTGCTACCTTCCATTTTGGTGTGTCAATCACTCTTAATGTGAGCCATGAATGGTTATGGTTACTTAAGAACGTAATCCTTCATGACTCATTGTCGATTAAGTTGTAGAATGCAGTTCTTCGTATTTGCCATGATCCGCTATCGATCAAAGATTGTATTATAGAAATTGAGTGTATATTATAGGTTCTAGAAACAGAACCTAGATCTATTATGAGGTATGAAATACAGTTCGCTCAATCAGTGTTAACAGATGATTTAGTATAAAAGAGTGAAAGATTTTATTCAATAAAAACAATCATATTCACAGTCTCGCTGATTTTATCAGTCTCTCTTTTCTTACTGTTGTCTTCACTCTTGATATCTCAATCAGACCTTGTCGAGAGCTTAAACCCAGCCTTCTTGAAATGTACATAGGTGGGAGTCAAATTGCCCTTTCGTTCTACATATAGTATTTTGGTCCGATAGACGTTCAGCTTCAGACCCCATCAATGAAAACTGATAGCCTCCATAAATACCTGGACAAGGTTTCTGCTGCTTTCACAACACTCGGCCAATATGCAATCATCCCTTATGGCAGCTTCTCTGCTTTCCTCACATCGAACATCAGCTCATTACTTGATGCGCTGGCCAGTTTTTCCTCGCGGAATATGAAATCGACGCGATTTCCGGAGACCTTCTTGTCTTTCCGGCTTTGTTGGCTTACATTCGGACCATGTTTCAAATTATTTGCCTTCGTTTTCTATCGAGATAATTTGCCTACCTGACGGTGGTGAATTCGTCATCAAGCAGAAAGGCGGCATCCATAGCATCAAATAAACATTCACGCGGTATCAGTCTTCATTATGCGTGCTCCATTTGAGCTTATCCGTATTCCATAAATTCATCCTCCAAACAACCTTACTATTTAAATGCATTGCGGGAATCCCATGCTTACATCTGGTTTATGGCACTCCGAATGAATCTGGTTCCCAATATTAGGACTAATACCGTAACATAGTTCAGCCCATAGCTTGTGCAAATCCGTTTGTGTATGACAATTGACATGGCACGTCCTAAAACTCGTAGAAGAAAAGTGCTACAACAACAAAGAACTTCGGAAGGAGTTTTTGCTGCTGCGACATATGTACCTGCTGCAATGGTTACATGGCGTGAGGAAGATTTGGATCGTGATCTTATCTCGGCTTTTGACAGACTCCAGCCATTGTCTTCAGTTGGATCTGTTTTACGTGGTACATACGATGTGATTTCGGAGAACGACAAAGTGAAGACGGTAAAAAACAATGCAAGAAGCATTAAAACAGCATTATCCTAGTCAATACATATTTTCGTTGCGTAGAAGATTGTGATAAGGCTGTCACTTGTAGCTTTGACGGAGAGGATGAAAACCAAAGCGACGATGATGCTGATAGTATGGATACAGAAGATGCATCATTTGACTGGAAAGACAAAGATGTTCTTCTTAAAGCTTATGAAAATGTACAAAAGGTTATTGCGACCCTCACGACTCCTTCGGACGATCTATAAAATCCCACGTAATGAGATACCTTTCGGTGAAATTCTATATTGAACGAGGGCATAAATCGGGGGAAAGTCTCAAAATTAGCAGCAGACCTTTTTACATGGTAAAAGAAGTGAGTCATACTTATGGCAGCCGTATAATTCGAAAATGGGCAACCAAATTTGTATCCAGCGGTATGATCGCTCCATCTCAACAAGGCTAATATCCAAAAACGGTTGCCATTCTATCACACGAAGACGTGAAAGAGAAGTGTTTGGAGTGGCTGAAGTGCAGAAAGCCCATGGAGCGAGACTTCGACATGCTAAGATGTTACATCGAAAAAGAGATCGTAAACGAATCAGGAAGTGTTTCGATCGAAACTATAAGAGCATATCTTTCAAAATGGGGATTCCAGTTTTGGAAGAATACAAAAGGAATATATTCTGATGGATATGACAGAGCAGATGTCGTTTGGTATCGCCAAGAGTGGACTCAACGGATGATATCTAGGTTTTCCCACATGGAAGATTACGCTGGTGACCCAGATGGATAGAATCCTTGAATCGGCTTTGCCTAACAACAATAAGTTCATCATAGTTACCCATGACGAGTCTGTACTTTATGCGAACGATGGCCGCGACGAAGACTGGTTTCAAGAAGGCCAATCAAAGATAAGAGGAAAGGGGCCTGGACTCTCTACAATGGTAAGCGAGTTCCAGTGCCCTTGCCATGGAACTATGCGCCATGAAGATAAGACGTCGCGAACGCTCTTCTACGCGGCGTCAAACAGAGAAGGCTATTGGACCTCTGGTCATCTCATAAACCAGCTTGAGGAAGTTACACCTATCTTCAAGGCACTGCATCCTGGATGCATTGGCATATTCTTTTTTGACCAATCATCCAATCACACTGCTTATGCAGCTGATGCTTTAGTCGCTTCACGTATGACTTTGTCTCCCAAAGTTTATGGTACGCAAAAAAATAAGTATCGGTTCCGTGAGATGAAGTTCTACTACATCGTGGAGAAGCGCTATAAGAACCAGATATTTTATGAGACAAGACGGAAACGAACTAAAAATGGTAAAGTTAAGCAGTGGGAGGAATTCAAAGGCATAAAGCGCATCTTGGAAGAAAGAGGGTTGCGGCATGATTTGAGATTGATCAGCGGAAATACAGGGCAAAAGATGGCGTTTGCGTTGCGAAAATGACGATACTGACAATTCAGAATGCTGTGCCCAACACTGTCTTGCGCTACAACTGGATTTCAAGCTCCAGAGATCTGCACTGCAGGAAACACTTCTTCGTCATAAGCTGTTGTTTTACTTATACCTAAAATTTTATTGCGAGCGTAATCAGATCGAAAGATATTGGGCAGATGTCAAGTGAGACGTACGAGGCAACTGTGATTACACATTTAAAGGTTTGCAACAGCGCCTTCCTATTGCTTTAGACAATGCATCCCCCCAGAAAAGACGCTTACAAAGACCAGAATGTGCTATAAAAGATGTATACGCTACATAAAAACATATAGCAAAGGAATGGGTGCCTGGGAAGCTGACGAGGAAGTTAGGAAATTTACTACTGGAAAATCTGCCTCTCATAATAGACTAGGCATCAATGAATATCTTCCTTATTTAGAAAGGGGAGTTTAAATACACAATTTGGGATTATAGATTTGGCGCACCATATACGACATAATTGTCCGCGTCTGCCGGTGCAAGTTATTAAAGATCGAATACCCTCACAGTATGAAGATACCTTCACCATGATATAGCCAATTAATACCAACAACTGGGAGCAAACAATGCCGGGCTGGAGAGAATACATTCGTTTGGTAAGGGTTAATTTCACTGGAAAACGCAAATCATAAAAGGCAATATTCATTTTTGGTTCAGCCTTTGATATATATTTGTTTAAGTTAATATAACAGCACACAGATTCTGATTTCCTATCACACCAAGTGAGGGTATTTTTCCATGATATGGAGTATAGTACGTCCCGCCAAACCATTGGCCCAACTAAACCAAGCTCTTGTAAACCGCGACGGGTTATCCTTGTGAAAAGATTCACACATTAAACCTGATTTTCTGGCTAGTCGTTTTAGAACGTTTAGATTCGCCTTAATTTCTTCTTCAGAAGTGGACGTCTGGATCTGCATTAGCAGACTCATTGGCCAAATCATGTCCTTGCCAGTGTGAGGTCCTCCGATACCATTACCAAAGTTTCCCTCAAAGTACCACGGATTCCAGTTAGAAAGAACGAACGCCCGTGTATTCAAGTAGATCTCGTCCTGCACGTCGACAAACCCCAGTACAGGTAGACTTAGAAGGGATGGCGTATTAGCATCATCCATTAGCAAAGAGGACCCGTAGCCATCCACTTCAAATGCGAATATCCGACCAAAAACAGGATGAGTAACAATGGCATGGTCATAAATGGCCTTTCGGATTGTGTTCCCCAACAGCTTTGCCTCTGCTGCAAAGTCTGCAAGTTGAGGAGGGGCAGTAATCATTGACTGGCTGGCTCTTTCCAACAAGACAGCCAGCTTTTCGAGCTGGACAGATAATTGAGCATTAGCAGGGATCTATGTATATTTCAACACAGTGCATTAGCTATATGACTCTTTCTGTTGGTTGCATTTCCAAGAGGTCGGCCTTACCAAGTAAGGGAAACTGGTTGCGTCGTCGCTTGGTCTAAATGCACTCCTGACCAAACCACACCAACGGGACACACCACCCCTGCCGTTGGCGCCAAGTGTCTCGGTGGGTCGATCCGTCGTGCGTTTGAATCGGTATCCATGCTCCAGCGATACTGGCTCGGGTACAGCGCCAGGTTGGTGCATAGGTCGTCTTAACTTGTATAGATCTATTTCTTCTTCTTCCTCCCAAGTGCCCTTCATTTGATCATGGATCACCTGGAACACTCTTGGCACAGCCTTCAGCCAGTCTTCTGCCGTCACAACTCGTTCATAGTCACCTGTAGCTTCCATATATTCATTTGCAAGTTGGAAAAAGTGGGCAAGGGAATCAAGCTCATACTTGTTGTTCCCGTGTTCGTACTTTAGCTAATAATTCTTTTTCTTATATAACCAAGAGACCGTTTACCTTCGATTCCCATACGTAGGCAGGATCATATTGCGGTATAACCCTATCCTGGGCTCCACGTTGTGTACTTCCAGAAGGAGCATACCATGGTTTTAGAAAGGCGTTTGCATATGGGTCATAATATAGAAAAGTTGATTGAACCAGGATGACACCGAGAATCAATTCTTGGATCTGAGTGTCATTGTGGGCAAAAATCATGTAGGGCAATATCTGATTGGTAGAGTCTCGTATCCACATGGCGGGGACTTAAATTTAAGGGCGCTTAATTAAAATAAACACAACGCAAAAAGCACAAACATTGGGTTGCCTCAGGAACTTACTGTCTCCGGTAAT